GGGAAAACTCGGACCAAATTGGGAAGGACCCTAGAGAGTAAAGAAAGCACTCGAGGGGGCATACGAGCTCGAAACCATAGAGGGTAAGCAAGTACCCCGAGCATGGAACATCGTCAACCWAAGGCGATACTACCTATAGACCGCCAATCAAAGTGGATAAAATCACCACCAAAACAGGTCGCGCGAGTGCGGTAGCCCGGACAGGAAACAGATCGGACATATGATTAGTTCGGCAAATATGCTCAGTTCGGGAGAAAGAACAACCAACACTTAACCAAAAGTCATTCCATTTCAAAAGTAAGGTAGTACATTTAAAAAAAAAATTACAAGCCCAGAGCTATTTCTTCATTATCAGAAGGCACTTCAACAATACCCGAAGGCCCCGCCTCGCCCTCGGAGTCTGGCTCACCGTCAGCAGCGTTGGCCATCTCCTGAGTTATGCGCGAAGTGGATATGGCGCTAATATCGAGCTCGGGGTACGTATTCCGGATCATCCACCGGCTTAGTTTAAAACCCCTCCTGTATGAATCCACCATCAGATCATCAAAGCCCGGTGAAGCAATGTACTCATCGACAACCTTCTTCTTCGCATCTTCGATACCCTAAGAAAAGATCTGCGTCCTCTCCCTGATGTCCTCCTGAAGGTAATCGACCTGATGCTGCAGATCTAGCCTCAAGTCCGCCATGTGCTTCACCACCACTCCCATGGCCTCGGCATCTCTTTGAGACGTCGCCTGCCTGATCCGTGAAGCACGAGCAGCCTCCTCGGCAGCTCGCGCCTGCCTCGAGCTCCTCTCCACCTGAGCCGCCAAGGCGTGTATAGAAGAATTCACCTACCAAAAGGAACCGAGTGATCAAAAGAACCAACAAAACAAAAGCCAAAGAGCTCTAAAAAAGGGAGAACACTTACCACCATGGCATGGGTAACGACACGACAGGCCACTTGATGTAGAGGGAGATCAGTCCACGCCGCGACCTCCTCGGGGAAAATAGCCTCCTTACTCTTTTGAAGAGCATGGGTCGACGACAGCACGCTCCTAAAATCCCCTGGGGTCCCCGAGCCCGAGGGCCCAGCTCGCGTATGAGCAGACCCAGAGTAAGCAGGAGCACCGGAGTATGTAGGAGCCCCTGTGTAAGTAGTCTCAGCATAAGGGCCCCCTACCGGCTCCTGCATTGGAGGAACCATCTCGGGCTCCCTGGGCAGATCTTCTGGCGGATAGTCCAGGACCTCGGGCCCTGCATCCCGGGGCATCTCGGCGCGAGTTCGCTTGGCAACCCGCTTTCTCCTCTTCATGCCTTGAAACAAGTGCCCACCTCGGGTCCCTCGAGAATCCATCACACCTGCGAAAAGAAGTTCGCCATCAGTAAAAAGCAAGAAAGACAGCAAGACAGAATCTCTAAGTGAAGAACCTACCCGAGCTCAGGCCGGCTGCAATGAGCTTGGCCTCCGTCAGATACTGTTGACACTTCAG